ACTGGAGGCGCCATGGCGGCACAGAAGGTGGATACGGTCCGGGAGCTGTGGGACAAGACCTCACATGGAGGAGAAGATGCCCAAGAGGACCAGCCAACGACACCGGAAAGGACCAGCCAATGACCCCTGAGGCAGCAGGCCGTTGCTGACGCAGGGAGAGGCCAATGGACTTGAACTGATGGACTGATGGACTAGGACTGACAATCCCGCCAGAAGGCGGAGGACCTTGGCAGGTTATGGTTTTTTTTTTGAGAATCTGGGGGTGGCCAGTGGGCCTTGATGGCCAAAAGCAGCCTGTGCATGGCCAGCAGCCAGGTGGAGGAGAAAAGCCAACTAAGAAAGCAAAAGCTGGTACTGATGCTAAGTTGAGAAGCCCTGAGCGGCTGTTAAGCAGCCTGGGTATGCTGAAGACCTGTGAGTCTCGTAAAATCACCTGTGGGTGATGCCCTGCTCATTCTTGAGTGAAGGTGAGGAGCTGAGGAACCTGTCCTTGGGGGACGGGTGGGGAACGTGGCTTGGGGTGGAGCCCAAGCCGAAGAGGGGACCCAAAAGAGGCCGAATGCAGAGTTTGGATCCCCGACCCATGTGCTTGTGCTGTGGGTTGGCCTGAGTGCAGGGGTCTGCGAGTCGCATGGGTGGCCATGAAGGCCGAGTGTTGGAGCGACTGCAGACAGAAACCCTGAGGGTTGGTGATTACCCCCAACAGAATAAAATTGCCAATCCCAGAGCTAGTGCAGCCTGGGGGTGGATGCTGTGTGTGCCTTGTAGCCTAGAGTACAGCCAGAGAAGGCCAGGAAGCCTGACGGCTCCTGGTATGTTATAGTAGATGCCGTGAGTGATTCCCCTCCCTCGTATGAGCAGTGCCTTCAGCAGCAGATTTGGTGGCTCATCTGCTGGTACCAATAATTGTCTTTTGCACTTGGTTGGTGCCCTGCCTGGACTTATTTGTGTTTTGTTGTATTTTGTTATATTTGATGTATTTGCTTTTGTGGGCCATGGCTGCATTGTTTGTTTGCTTAGAAAATTGTATATATATGTATAGACTGTATGGCAGAAAACCCTGAGGGGGTGGACTGTAGGGTAAAGAAAATATCAGGCTTTTCTGCCCTTCCGCCATTAGGATAGATGATGGATCCTTGTCCTGAATGCATGCCTGATGGCGGGCACCTGGAATAGGGTGTGGGCATAGGTAGATGGGATTCAGCTGAGCTAAGACTGTGCTTTTAAGGGCGGCGTCACGGGGGGACGCGAGCAGCCCCAGCCAGCAGCAGCAGAACCTGAAGGAGAAGCCGAAGCAGAAGCAGAGAACGCCAGAGAGCCCAGATAGAGTGAAGACTTGCTGGGGGCTGGGAGGCCTGCCAGCCTCCCAGCCCCCCAGCCAGCACCCCTGCCTGCCATATGCCTGGTGAACCCCAGATAAAAAACCTGCAAAACTACTGAGGACTCTGACTCCTCCTTTACCCGGTCTGCATGGGATCAGAAAACCTGCACCTGTGCCCATGTCCTGCCCTTACAATACCAAATAGGAATGCTCTATTTCAGAAGCAGGGGGAAACTGCATAAGACAATTTTACATAGATAAACCAAGATGGGGTTAAAGATGACTTTAAAGAAGCATCAAGGAAATTACAAAAAATCAAAAATATTCCTTGCTACTTTCTTTTTCCCGTGTCTGAGACCCATGACTAGACATTTAGCTATTAGTGAGAAAGAGGTGGATCTTCTTTTGTGTGTTTTTGGTGTGCTCAGGCTGCCATAGCAAAACACCACAGGTTTAAACAATAGACATTTATTTCCCACAGTTCTGGAGGCTGGAAGTCTAAGATTATTGTGTCCCCAGGTTTGGTTTCTGCTAAGACCTCTCTCCTTGGCTTGCAAATGGGCATCTTCTGCTGGCATCCTCACATGACTTTTCTTCTGAGTGTGCCCATCTCTGGCATCCCTTCCTTTTCTTATTAAGGCACCAGTCATATTGAATTGCACTTCCACTATTATGACCTAATTTAACCTCAATTACCCCCTTAAAGGCCTTATCTCCAAACATACTCTTATTGGGGTTAGGATTTCAGTATATGAATTTTGTAGAGACACAATTCAGTGCATGACCGTGCCTATTACATTGTGTCATTTTAGGCATATAATGCTATAAAATTTGAAATTGGGTGGGTGTAGGGTAAAGAAAATGTCAGGCTTTTCTGCCCTCCCGCCATCAGGATAGATGATGGATCCTTGTCCAGAGTGCATGCCTGATGGCGGGCACCTGAAATAGGGTGTGGGCATAGGTAGATGGGATTCACCTGGGCTAAGACTGTGCTTTTTAAGGGCGGCATCATGGAGACGCCAGCAGCAGTAGCCGAAAGAGAAGCCGAAAGAGAAGAAGCCCGAAGCAGAAGCAGAGAACGCCAGAGAGCCCAGATAGAGTGAAGATTTGCTGGGGGCTGGAAGATTTGCTCCCAGCCCCCCAGCACCCCTGCCTGCCATGTACCCGCTGAACCCCAATAAAAGGCCTGCAAAAAACCACTGAGGACTCTGACTCCTCCTTTACCCGGTCTGCATGGGATCAGAAAACCTGCACTGTGGTCCATTCCTGCCCTTTACAGTGGGCTATTATAAGTGTTCAAATTTAACTTCTGGAATCTCAACCGAGATTCGGGTTTAAGGGTCCTTCATTGGTAAAGTCCCCAGCACCTGGGAGAAGCAAATGCAAATCCCCGGTGGAGGAAGCATCTCTACCCCAGGTCTCCAAGAAGTTCTAGATATCATATTTCTAGGACCATGGCCTCTGCACAAAGGTAAATGGCAAATCAGGAAACAAGGCTCCATGAGGAAAGGCTAATGAAAACACAAAACAGCAGATAGACTACACAAAATTTAAAAAATGTATCAGATGCAAATTGTAAACCAGCTATGCCATTTTATTTCAAGAATCAAGCAAAAACTCAACAGTAAATGTTGCTCCACTGTTGCACAATCCAGGAGCTCAAAAATTCATTCAGAGATCCAAAGTGTTTCTATCTTTCCATTTTGCCCACAGTCCTCAGCAGTTTGTCCTCTACTAGTTTTCCTCATGGTGACAAGATGGCTGCGAGAACTCCAAAACATACAACTTACAGAGCAAAAAAAGGGGAGGTGTGTTTTTGTGTATCCCTCTTTCAACAGTAAAGCATGGACTTCTCTGCAATGCTCCATGTGCCAGGATTGCATCAAATGCCTGTGGCTAACGTAACATAGGGGCCTTCTTTCTAATTATCCATCCCTGATGTCTTCCTTTTCTCACATGGCCGCCTATCATATTGGATCAGGGCCTACTCATTGATTTCATTTAAACTAAATTGACTCTTTAGAGGTGCTATCTCTAAGTACAGCCATATACTAAGGTTCTAGGAGTTAGAGATTCAACATATGGATGTTGGGAGGACACAGATTTGCACATAACAGGATATATCACCTCAGACTGCCTGCCTCAAGTCAGAACAATTCCTAAGGCCATCCTGGCTTCAGAGCATCCGTAGATCACCTAAGGCCTTTGTTGCTACGGCTTACTCTTTTGCTCAGGTCTGTTGCCTTCACTGTCCCTCAGATGGATCCCAGAGCACTCCTCAATAAAATTCCTATGGTCAACCTTCCATCCCATAGTCTGTTTCCTAGGTAACCAGACCTAACATATGGGTCCTCCACTTATTTTTTTATCCGTGGAAGAACACTTTGGTAGTATTTGAGGAAGGCTATCCTTACCGTAAAGCTCGTTAAAAATGCAGCGTTTCCTATTTACAATAGCTAAGCTATGGAAACAACCCAAATGCCCAAAAGTAGATGACTGGATCAACAAGATGTGGTACATATACACAATGGAATATTACTCAGCAATCAAAAAAGATAAACTCATGGAGTTTGCAGCGACATGGATGGAGCTAGAAGGGATCATGCTCAGCGAAATAAGTCAGATAGAAAAAGAAAAATACCAGACAGTCTCACTCATAGCAGGAATTTAGAAAACCTAAATAAGGGACCAGGAAAAAGACTAATTAATACAAAGTAAAAATCAAAATCAACCAGCAACTATAAACCAGAGACACACTACGGGGGTGGGGGGAGGGAAGGGGAGAGGAAGGACTATGGTCAAAATAAGGGGGGGGGTGCAATTGAATGGGGAATATAACCAAAATGAAAATGCATGCATTGTGCAAAAATGAAAAATGATGTAAGAATTATATAAAATAAAATATTTATTAAAAAAGAAAATTTAAGGGGCCTCCCTGGTGGCGCAGTGGTTGAGCGCTGGGTTGCAAAGCTGCCTGCAGCCTCTGCAGCTATGGTTTGATCCCCCGCCACCGGTGAGGGTGCCACATGGCGCGCAGACCTCTCCTGCCGCCCACTGCTCCCCTCAGCAGTGTATTTCGTCAGTCTGCCTGTTCTGTTCCCTGCTCTGGCTCTGGTGAATTCTCTCACTCTCCTGCACTTCTGACTGTACCCAGTGCTTGTAGAAATAAATAAATCTTTTTAAAAAAAATTGAGCCTTTGTCATACATTTTTAACAAGCACTTTCAAAGAACATGATTTCATTTTTCTTGATGTTTTGACATTTAAATAATAAAAAAAATGCAGCATTTCCCACAGTAAAGAGTGACCACCCCTGGAAGGGTGTGAGGGGATGGTAAATGGCCTGATCAGGTGGTCTCTACAGTCTCTTTTATAGGACTTGCTTGTTCTAACTCACTGTTACCGGATTGTTCTTCCTTAAGTAGTCAAAGGGTGCAGAGACTCAAATAAAAGTGCAAGTTACATACCCTGTTTCTGCTGTAACTGAGTCAAACCTAGCTCTCTGTCCAAGCTCTCAGGACCCAAAACAGTTTCATGTTCTCCCTCCTACCCTTCTTGTAAAAACTAAGGAAAGACTTCAGGTTACCAAAATCACAGAATGAAACTTACAATGGAGTGAATAAATTGAGAACTAATTCTTTATTTATGCCCCTCTTTATTTGTGCTTCTTTCCTATGTAGGGCACTCTACCATGGGAAATAGGAAAACAAAATAGAAGAAAAACCCTCTCAAGTTGTTACAAAGCAGATGAGAGGTAAGTTATAGTCATACTGAACCTTGGCATTTCATGGGAGATGTGCCCACCCACAAAGGAGATGTTGGTGAGGACCTGATGATGAGGACCTTGCTTCTGGAACTCAAAGTGAAATCTAGGTCCTGTGACCAAGGGCAACCCCAGCCATGGGAATCTCTTCATCTCCATTTAGTCATTAAATGTGACATGCACTCCAAGAACTGCTGGTTAAGGATCTATGATAATTTGTCTTGCCTCTGCAAGATGTGACATCTGGGCAAGATGTATGGGAACACTCTTTGGCATCTATAAATATAGAGAATGAGAAACCATCAATGCAAAAAATCAAATATATATATATATATATATGTTTATTGCACCAAGTTACAATAACTTGGACATGGATGTGGCCTAAATATCCATCAGAAGATGGCTGGAACAAAAACTGTGGTTATCCACACTATGGAATACTATTCAGCCATTAGGAAAGATGAAATGCAGTAAATTTTAGCAAAATGGAGGAAGTTTGAAAGTATTATATGTAGTAAAGCAAGTCTGAATGGTGAAAACAAATATTGGACATTTATACAGCAGACAATCTGGTAAATAAAAATACTTACAAAAACTAGTGGACATTTATAAAGGAGGTGAGAGCTCCGAGGTAAAGAGGGGGAGGGAAAGGAACAAGAGGATATAAGGAATGACATGGGTGGGGGAGGGGAGGGATGGCGGGAGAGGGAAGCCAGCATATCCAGTTGCCTTGGACAAATGTTTCCAGTACCAATCTTGATGCAGTGAGGGGGTTAAAAACCTCTTACAAATATCTGAAAATATCTGAAAAGCCTTTTGAGTTCTTTGGAAAGAACTATGGAGTAAACATAAAGATGATGTTTGCAATGTTAATACAAAATGAGTAAAGCATTTTTTAGTTGTGTTGTTCATGTGAGCAACGCTATTGTTCACGAACCTAGAGCCTCAACAAAAAGTTAGTATATTTATGTCTGTCCCATTTCCTCTAGGAGTCCTATATATGCTCCTAAGAAAAAAATCACATGAAGCCAAATATGTAACCCATTTAATGAGTACAGGAAACTCTCAAAGACTTAGAAGAAAACCTTAGATCAGATAGGAGAAAACAATGAAGAGTTGGCTATCAAATCCATCTCCTGCTTTCTGTCGCCTCACAGTGGAGCCACCACAGCAGAGCAGTGTATGTCTTCATTCTTTTCTGGGTATGTTACGTGCAGTTAAAAGTCACTGGAGAATTAGGCATCCTGCAGAACTTTATACTAAATCTAATAGAAGACCACATAGGGAACCTTGCCATGAGATCTGAGACAGCTCTGAAGCCAAAACTTGAGTTCTCATCGAGCAAGACCAAATTATGTGGATCCACTTTTTTTCTCTAGGTTTGGCCAAGATCAAGGCTTTAGGGGCATGAGGAGATTCTGGAAGTTTACTGGGGACTTCTTATGGAGGCCAAGGGAGATTTGGGCTGAGTTGGGTCATATGCTGTATAGTAAATTAAAACTTAAAGAAATTCCACAGAGACTATATATTGCCTTTTCTTAAGAATATCTAAAGCAACTCCAATCCTGACCTTAAATTCAAGGTGTAAACTAGATTTGCCTAGAAAATCCACAACTGGGTGTTTGGTCACTTATTAGTAGATTTGGACCCTCTTTGGACATGTAGAACTGATCTAGATCCTTCCCACTATGTTCACTACTTTAGAAGTCAACACAAACATTCCTTAGGTGACCCCAAGTAGCATTTGGATCTTTGCTTTGAATGTATTTACCCAAAACTTAGACAGTATCATGTCATTGAAAGGAATGTCGAAATACATTTATTTTTCATTATTTACATTTGTCTATATGTCCTCTGTTATTCAGAGTAATTTTCTTTTGATTTTTCCTTTAGAAAGTGGAATTTTGAAAACCTCTACTGGAAAGTGGGTTGTTTTCTGCATTTTGCAGTAAGTTCTGTGAGAAAAAAATGAGTGTAAACCATTCACTGATGATACATAATAAAAATATAATGAATTCATGTTAGAATTTTCATCCAAAGGCCACTCCCACCCATCTCCTCATGTTATAGACTTAGATTTGCATTTATAGCACATATAAAACCAGATTAATGTGCACATATAAAGATGTCATTATTAAATATATGTGCATGTATATAAGTATATATACACATATATACATAAGATGTAATAATATTGCATATGTGGATATATATGTGTATATTTCTAGGTATGTGTATGTGCTATGTGTAATTGTAAAATATAAGCATACTGTAGTACAGGGCTAGTAATATAAATTTTGTCCAAGACTCCTCTCAAAATGTGTTTATGATAGAATATGGAAATCTTTTTTATTAATTAATGTTTTAAATTTTTTTTACATCATTGTCCATTTTTAAACTATTTGCTTCCCCCCACCCCTTTAGGTGTAGTCCCCATAGAATTTCCATCACCAATGCACCTGTGCTCCATCACCTCAGTCCCCTGTGCTCCTCCCTCCCTCCCTCTGATCCCTCTCCCGCCTACTCCCCTGCAGTATGTCTCAGGTTTATAATTGTCTGTTTTTGCTTTGTTGTGTTTTGATCTGTTACTATTTTTTTTTTTTTACACTGATGTCTTCTTTGGTTCCCCTATATTCCTATTATAAGTGAAACCATCTGATATTTTTCGTTATTTTTCTTTTTTCCTTCTGGCTTATTTCACTGAGCATAATTCCTTCTAGTTTCATCCACATTGCTGTGAATGGCATAAGTTTATCTTTTTTTGATTGCTGAATAATATTTCATTGTGTATGTATACCACATCTTCTTGATCAAGTCATCTATTTTTGGGCATTTGGGTTGTTTCCAGGTTTTACCTATTGTAAACAGTGTTGCAATAAACATAGGGGTACAGGTGTTCTTTTGAATCAATGATTTTGTGTCCTTTGGGTAGATCCCTAGTAGTGGAATAGCTGGGTCGTATGGTAGCTCCATTTTTAGTAGACTGAGGAACCAACAGACAGCTTTCCATAGTGGTTGGACCAGTTTGTACTCCCACTAGCAATGTAGGAGAGTTCCTTTTTCACCACATCCTTGCCAACATTTGTTGTTGCTTGTTTTTTTGATATGTGCCATTCTTACTGGTGTAAGGTGGTATCTCAATGTGGTTTTGATTTGCATTTCCCTGATGACAAGGGATGTTGCATATTTTTTTATATGCCTGTTGGCCATTTGCATTTCCTCTTTGGAGAAATATTTTTTAAGTTCTTCTGCCCATTTCTTGACTGGATTGTTTATCTTGTTTTTGTTGAGTCATGTGAGTTCTTTGTATATCTTTGTGATCAGTGCCTTATCAGTTGAATGGACTGCAAAGATTTTTTTCCCAATCAGTGGGGTGTCTCTCTGTTTTGGTTAATGTCTCTTTTGCTGTACAGAAGTTTTTCAGTTTGATGTAATCCTGGGTGTTTATCATTTCCTTGACTATCTTTGCTTTGGGTGATGAGTCTTTAAAGATGTTATTGCGATGTATGTCTTGTAGTGTTTCCTCTATGTTTTCTTCTATATTATTTTATGGTTTGAGGTCTTATGTCCAGATCTCTTATCCATTTTGAGTTGATTTTTGTGCAAGGTGAGAGGTAGTGGTCTAGTTTCATTTTTTTGCATGTGGTGGTCCAGTTTTCCCAGCACCATTTATTGAACAAACTGTCCATGTTCCATTGTATGTTCTTTGCTCCTTTGTCAAAGATCAGTTGTCCATATAAGTGTGGTTTTATTTTTGGGCTCTCTATTCAGTTCCATTGGTCTGTGTGTCTGTTTTTTGTTCCAGAACCAAACTGTTTTAATTGTTATGACTTTGTAGTATAGATTGAAGTTTGGAAGTGTGATACCTCCTTTCTCCTTTGTTTTCATCAGTAGGGCTTTGGCTATTCATGTTTTTTTGTGGTTCCATATGAATTTCATAAGTATTTGTTCTATTTCTTTGAAGAATGTCATTGAGATTTTTATTGGAATAGCGTTGAATCTGTATATTGCTCTTGGTAGGAGAATATGGAAATCTTTTAATGATGAATTTGAAATGATTAACTTCTTTTATTGCTACATTTGAAAAAATGCACTGCTATTTGTGAGCTCCGTGGGACAAACAAAAAAATGTAGTTAAAGTGTGCTAAATTGAAGCTTACAAATATAATAGTAAACTTCCTAATGACTGTAGTAATTGTTTAGGCCACAAAAGGAATTTTCAGGTAGGTGTTAAGAGTTGCTGGTGCATGTTGATTATAAAAAGCAAATGTACTTTTAGTCAGCTTTATTAACGTTTGATGCAATCAATGATGCAGCTCTATTACCTTCTGCTATTGTTTCCCCTCCCCCTTCATAATAGAAAGAAATAGAAATCTGAACTTAGATTTGGAGTGATGATGTATGACCTTGAGGAAATGACCAATATAGAGCAGATCACTTTGCTTATTTATAAAATGAAAATACCACTTCTCTGCTGATCTCAAGCAGTTATGGAGTCTGCTATCTATACAAGTATTAATTTGCCTGATTAGCCCCTGCAGTTGCAAGTTGCCATGTCAGAGCCTGACAGAGAGGCTCCACCTTGGGCTTCATGATGTCCTCCCCTCCTTGTCTCCTGTCACTGGCTAGCTTCCTGGTCTGCTTCCTGAATACAGTGAAGAGGGCACTTCCCCAGGTTCTGGTTTTGATTCTTGTCTTCTTTCATTCTCCCATTTCAGCCTTTTCTTCTTCTTCTGCCCATTCCCCCGCTGAGCTTACCTCCACTTTTTTTAGTAAGTTCAAAAACACTTTCCAAATCCACCCTCCCTCCACTCCAATGCCAAGCCAGTATTTCGAATAGTTTGCTGTGTTCTGTCTTTTCCGAATGAAGTGATTTGAAATGGAACCTTTATCTTTCCCCTCCCTCTTCCCAATTGCATGCTCCTCTTGATTTCCCACTTTTGGACCTTCTGTATTTCTTTCTGTAACCCAAACGGGAAGCCTCAGAGGCATCTGACTCTCTTCTTACCCTGCACATATCCTAACAGAAGTGAACCAGAGGACACCAGAGGCACGGGTTTGGGGCTTCCCAGTCAGCTGACACTGGATTTGGATCCTAGCTGTACCGCATGCCAGTTGTCTGACTTAGGGTGAGTTTCTTAACCCTCTACACGTCTTAGAGTCCTAAGTAGGTTTTGACTTGTATTCTTCCATTTCGTATCTGTAATAAAAACTCACAGAGCCAATATTTGCATAATATTATTTTCCTTTCAGGGCTATTAATTTTTTTATTACAATTTTTAATTGTGGTAGAATACACCTAACATGAAATTGATAATCTTACTGTTTTTAAGCACACAGTTTCCTGGTAATAGACACTTCTACACTGTCCTGCAACCATCGCCACACCCATCTCTGGAACTTTTTCATCCTGTAAAACTGAAACTCTATACCAATTAGATAATAATCCCCAATTCCCATCTCCTTCAAGCCCCTGGCATCCACCATTCTATTTTCTCTGTGAATTTGATTACCTGAGGTACCTCATATAACACACATAATCCACAGCTGTATCAACTGTACCAGCTTTATCTTTTAAGGGCAGGAAGGAAAGTATTGAATTTAAGAAGTAAATGCCAATGTAAAGAAAAATGTTTTTTAAATACTATTCTTTCTTTCCTGTCTGGCATTTCACGTAGCATAATGTCCTCCAGGTTGAACCATGTTGTAGCATTTATTAGAATGTCCTTCCTTTTTAAAGCTGAATGAAATTTCACCACACACCACATTTTGTTTATCCACTTATCTGTCAATGGACACTGGGTTGTTGCCACTTTGCCTGTTGTGAATAATGCTACTTTTGTGAATATGTGTATACAGATAACTCTTTGAGACCCTGGTTTCAATTCTTTGGATATTGAATTGCTGGATCCTATGGTGATTCTCTATTTTTAACTTTTGAGGAGACACCTTACTTTTTTCCAGAGCAATTTCCCCATTTTACATTTCCACCAATAGAGCAGAAGCGTGCTAATTTCTCCACGTCAGCTAACATTTGTTAGTTTCTGCTTTTTGATATGATTTTTTTTTAATATGAAGAATTGACTAGATTTTAGGCCTACTTCTCTAAACTTATTCTGAAGGTCATCTCCTTAGACTAGCCTGAAGCACTTGTAAAAATGCACACTCCTAACCCCACCTCGGACTAAGTGAAACTTCT